GTGAATACAAAATGCATGGGACTGGTTTCAGTTAACATACCATTCTTATAATAAATCAACATCTTAAATTCAACAGATGGAGTACTATTTTCTGTATGTGTGATTTTTTGCAGTATTTTAGATCTTAGTATCAGTTCTTTTAATCAGTTTTATAACTCAAAGAAACTGGTGCATTCCATGTAAAGGATGTTCTTTGTGGTACAAGTCAGTGGTTGGTACAAGTCATGCCTTTAAAAACATGTCTGAGGTATCTCTGCAAAAGTGAAGAAGGAAGTTAACCATTGCTTTCAATAGTCTGAAAGAATAGGAATAGGAAATGTGTACCTTGTCAATGATGGTGTATTTCCTAGCATGCTATTGCTTTTGAGGTTACCATGGTGTAATAAATAATGCTTAATAGCACACAAATATTTTTCCTGGCTGTGATATGAAATACAGGAGTACTCAATCTAAATGCTGACACTTCTAATTAAGGCAGCTTTCGAGATGGGAGCTTTTCATCTAGGCCTACCTCATGGCTTTCATTGCCGTTTTAAAAGGCTCAAACTACATGGAAGATTCGAGTATAATGTTGTATATAAGGCTATATGCATAACAATATTATAAAAAATAAAATCAATGTGCATTGCTTTTTTTCATTGTGTGGCATGGCATGTGAGGATGGGTTTTAAAAGTAGCATCTTTTAATCTGTAGTAACAATGATTCTGTTAGGAATGGAAGCGAATGCCATTCACTTCACAGTGAATGGAAGGAGTGAATATCATTTAGCTCTCTGGAAAGGCTCAGACTCCTGTAGTGAGCTTCAGTCCAGACCTCAATGTTTGCTGATGATGAATTAGTCTAATGCTTGGCAGCTGATGCCGTTCAGGGAATCAGGAATGTGTTTTTGGTCAGCTGTGGCTCTCCTCTGGTGACGCATCTCTGGATACAAAACCAGAGCTAGTGCACGAGGTTGAGAATTCACCTGCATCTGGATGGTAAAGTTATTTGTGCTCCAGTTTGTGAGGCTTTGAAGCACTTGGAGGTTTGCTGTTGATGATGCATCTTGGTGAATGAATAGCAAGGCACCAGCACCAGCTCACAGAGCTGTTTACTGGAGTGAGGGAAAACCTGGGTGTCTGCTTCTCAAACCATGAAATCCTAGTCCTCGGGCATGTGAGCAAAGGGAGTTTGAGGCAGTCCTTTAAAGTAGTTCTTTTCATGGTGCTCTTTGCTTCTTCCAGGTATATAAATGCATCAGTGTCCTGCAAATGAATTCATTTTTTAAGAACCTTCTGGTGCTTAAAGGATTTTTGTACTTCCATGATAGGTTTTCCACGTCTGCATTTTTGGGAAAACTGCTGCCTGCTAGCTTCATGTTTGATAAGTGATGACTGGGTTTATATTACTAGTGAGTATAATGGGAGAAAGAAAATCTCTTTAGTAGTCTGGAGTCAAGACATGGCTCTGTTACAAAGTCTGCTCTAGGCAAAAGCAACATGATGCATCTGCGCCACTGCCAGAATCATCTATATAAAGTTGAATATCAAGACACTGTTTAGATCTGTCCAGTTCAAACCTGTTAACTTGTGAATCTCTGTCCTTAGTTACAGCAGTGGGTGAGGGTGTGGAATGAGGCAGATAGAAAGGAACAAATACAGCAAACTCCCAAATGTCTGCAGTTAATATTTTAGATGAATGCATCACCATTTCTTCGTGTTGTCTGCCTGCTGTTTTCACTCCTCTTTCTTTGCACGCTCAATATTTTTATCCCATCTATCCCTTTCTCCTTGGCCATAATGATGGGACAGAGGTTTTACCTCCTATGTCTTCATCTTCTCAGAGCTTGTATTAAAGCAACCTCATTGCTTCATTCCTCTCTAGCAGTATGTTCATGTTTCTTTCTCATCTCCCCTTCCCCTATTCCCTCTGTGCTGTCTATCAAGATATATATATGTACACTAATGTACAATGTATAAATACTACATTCACAAGGTATGAAATAGTTAATATTGATATATGTGTATGTACATATATAAATATATATATGTTAGATACCTAGTACTTTTCACTGTACAAGATTTTGTATGGTCTTTTTATGATGAGAAATAACACATTCTTTATCGTAACTGGCCCCTTCAACTCTATAAGGAAATCTTTTTAACCAAAAATCCCAACATTTTCTTCATGAAATTCTGTTAGGATCAGCTGTGCTTTGAACTGTGAAAAACTGTCATTTCTGTTGAATGTTTTTCCTCAGGAGATATTATGTGTATGTTAAAATAATATCTAGAGAGAAAAAGTAGCAAGAATAGCATCTGCTGTACGTGGAGGGTCTGAGAACATGGATCTGAGTCCATCTGCTACAGGTCACTGCCTTCCTCTCCTGATGTGCAGGCTGCAATGTGAAAAGTTCATGGTACACACTATGGAGGAGGGAAGGAAGCAAATGTCATTGTTACTGGTCTTCTGTTTTCTTTTAGCTGAGCCAGCCTTGGAAATAGTACCAAAATCCCCCCTAGAACAGATGACTTTGCAATTAATACAACCTCCCCACCTTGAGTTAGGAAATACCAGTGCATTTCCTGTGTGCAACTCAGCTCTTGTCACCTCTGCAAATGCTTTATGATGTAGCCTTTGGATTTTAGTATCCTTAGCAACAAACTATTTTTTCCCTAAAATGTAATTTTCTTTTTTAGTATGTAGGTTAGGCACAAAACTTGTGCTACTAACATATGCCCAGTACACAGAGCAGGCTGAGCACACTGAGTTCATCCACATTGCTGGGTATTTAAAAACCCTACTTGCTGCTCAGAGTTTTCAGAAGACATGAGAATGGATTTATGTGGAAACTGCAGCAGGGCAGCAGGGAGCTATTTGTTCTTCATACCCCTTAATAGGGCAAGAAGTACCTGCCTTAAAAATGAAGGAAGAAAGGTTCAGATCGGGCTTTTAGCAAAACTTCCCAAAGGCAAAGACAGTAAAGGGCTGAAAGAGTTTGTGTGCAGCGACCATACATTTTTGGAATTCTTTAGTAGTTTAGATAAATATCTGTCAGGGCCAAGGTATTGATTCATATCTTGAATGTTGCTCTTTCCAATTGCAACAAGTTAAAGCTATGTGTGTAGGAAAGCTCAGCTAGGTAAGCAATGTTGAAGTGAGCTGGGGTGAAACCAGCCCCACTTGTGCCTACTATATCCAGACCTGTTGGAGGAAAGATTGGGTTTATACTAAGGCACAATGCAAGAACTTCATCTTCATCCCCAGTACAGCTCCAGAGCTTTATCTAAGCCTGTGTCTGCCAACATGCGTGCATGCAAGTGGCATGATGGCAGGAGAGTCTGGCTTGGACCTGTGCTTGATTGATAGTCTTTTTATACCTTTTAGGGTTACTCTGACTGCTCTAAGTCTGCACTTTCCAGATTTTGAAAGCTTGGTTGCAGATATTCAATATAGTATTGCAGATATCCAATATACTATTTTTTCAGTATGTGTTGCCAAGGTTTGATAATCTGTGGTATGTGCACAATATTCTTCCCAGACAGTTCCCCTCATTTCAGATCATGCTGTTGAGTCCAGTAGGTATTACTGAAGCCAAAGGTTTTGCCCAACAGCAATAAAAGATGTAAAGTGACCATAATCCCAATCATAATTTGTTGGTGTTTTTCCTTTCTTGTTATCAATAAGTAAGATATTTTCTATAAAAAAACATTTCTCTTACTAAGATAGAGAAGGTAAAATGAGTCAGTAAATGTGAAAGACAATTTTATGTCTCCAAACACATACCCTAGTGTTACGTTTTGAACAAGCTTTACTTTGAGTTTCTAGCTGCAGGTGTAAACTAGCTAGCAATTCCCACAGTGTAGGTGTATGAAGGAAATCAAATTCCAGTCCAAGTCTGCAGTCTTTCCACGTGAGTCTGCCTTCTTTAGGGGATGCTCTGGAGCCACCACAGTGCGTGTGTATTAACTGAAGTGCGGGTTTGCTGGAAGACTGACCGTGGAAGCAGAAAGATGTTCATACACATATTTGTTTGCTAGCATGCTTTAGTACTGAGGCACTTATCAATAGCAGGTAAACCAAAGGTTGGACAGAAAGAGTTACTGTTACCTAGTTTAACAGAAAATCTTACAATAGGGAGAAGTACAGGAGAAAAGAAATGAAAACACAGTTTTGTAAACTTCTCTTAGATATTTTTCTCCAAGTTCAGCTCTGAGAGTAATGTGGTTACTTGAGAACTTCTGGCTTCTTAAAAATCTATGTATCTGAGGCTGAAAATCCAAAAGGAAAATGAAAAGAATAGCAAATGTTGATTTTTGTAATGTGGGATTATCTTTAGGTTTGTTCTCATTGCATTTTAGGGAACTGCCCTATTGTATTTTGAGTTCTTGAATATTCTGAGCATTTTTAATATGTTATAAAAGTGATTGTGTTTAAAAGCAATGGATTTTGTGATAGAAAATGTTAGGTTTAAGTCAGAAGATGATTACTGGCAAAGTGTATCCTATATTCCTAGTAAGCTACATAGTGAGGGGAGTCCATTCTGAAAAGGCCTGTGTATGTCTGGGCTTTCTTTATGAAAGGCATACTTAAAATACTGTTGCGGGGAGGAGAGGCCAAAGGTATCCCTTCATTCCTCAAAGGAGGCTGGGGCCCATCTTAGCAGGCAGATTCAAAGGTTAATTAAGAGTTCAGGTTTTAGGCCATTTATCACAGGTTTCAGAATTGCTTTCTTCCTTTCTCCACCTCTCATGTACACAGCTGCTCTTTAGACACTTAGCGTGGTAAGTGCATGCATACTCCCTGTTCCAGCCTGTGAAGTTGTGCTATACATTGTGGGCAGGACGATTCCCAGACCAAGACCTTTAGTCAACGGTGGCAGCTCCTTTGCGTGTTGAACTTAAGAGGGCTGACCTAACTGAAACCACGAGCTGGGGAGAGGCTTGTTCACCTGCTGAAAAGGGTCTGCTAGGTTGTGGTCATTTCCCACCCCACTTCTCTGATCGGTTCTCTCTCGCAGGCAGGAATGGCATCTCCTGAAAATCCTGAGCAGTTGATCATTGCCCTGGAACCTGAGGCTGCCTCTATCTACTGCCGAAAGCTCCGCCTGCACCAGATGATAGACCTGAGTAGCAGGGCGCCTGTCAATGGTTACAGCCCAAGTGACACTATTGGAACTGGATTTACACAGGGTACTTCTGTTAACTCACTTCTTTAGATTCTTATGGCTAAGTTTTCTTTGCCCACGTGGGCTCTTTCACTCTGGAAATGTTTCATGCTAGCATCAGTTTGCTTTTATAAACTGTTTTGCTGTTTGCTGTGATTAGACTAGTTTAGGTACTAATCCAGCAGACATGTTTGCATGCACTTGAATACCTGCATGCAGGTAGCTTCACTGCCTTGTCTTTATAGGGATACTGTGGGAGCCTTTTGGTATTTTTTACAATAGTATTTTTTTGCTTTAATTAACATCAACACTTTATGTTAGATCATCTTTTTAGTTTGCTGGAAACCATCATATGTTCAATTAGCTGCATTATCAAAACAGTGTTAAGTAAGTGAATCTGCAATGAGACTTTTAGTCTGAGGTGTTCCGGAGTTTTGCAGGTGTTTTTGGATGTCACCTTAGGAAGTATCATTAATTACTTTCAACACTCAGTGGTACACATTGTACTGGAATATAGCAATGAGTTCATCTGCTTGTAGAAGAGCAACTAGATACAGCACTTCCAATTTACTGACCTGGAATCTGTTGCTAATGTCAACGTTTGAAGACTGACTTAAAATGAGGGACAGAGATTGGACGACAGTGTAGGTGACTTGCTGAAAGATCCTTAATAATCAAAGATTTTTTGAACGTGGTACCCTACCTGAGACTGGGGGAAAATAAGCAAGAAAGAAAAAGGCAAAGGAAGCATCTGTGACTGCTGCATAATGCACAGATTTCCCTGTGTGTGAATTACAGCAGTTGCACTGGTATGTGTGGTATTGTGCCAATCTATCCCAGAAGGAGTTTTTCAGAAGATTTTGTATTTTATTGCATTTAGTAGGTTAAAACAGTATGGGCAAATGGAAGATTAGGCTAGTAAAGCTATTCCTGTACTTACCAGAGGTATTTTTTTCAGTTGGGCAGAGTCACTACATCATTCTCTCAAATCCATGTCTCTCCCAGCCAGCCCTCATCAGATGTGCTCAGCAGAGCACAGGCACAGTCCCTTCAAGGGCTCCTTGGCTTCTGTCCCCCTTGTTCATGTCCTGACCCATTCCCATTCCATGTGATTTTGCATGAACTCACTTTCAGGACACACAGGGATTTGCCTGTGGGAAAATAATAAAAGAGTTTCTCTGGTTAAGATTTTGAAGCTAGGCAGAATTTGGCAGATCATGGATTTCTGCTAATAGGCTTTTTCTTGGGTGGGGGGCAGAATTCCTCTTGACTTCACATGGTAAAATCTGTTGGGGATGAGAAAGGTTTCATGTCAAAATTAATGAAAACAAAGTTTGGAGTGAATTTGGGGTTAGAATTAAAATTTCATAAAGGCATGGCAGGCACCCAAGACAAGCTGAGAACAGATTAAGGAGAAAAACCCTTGAAATATAAACAGAGAGAAGCACTCCAAGGACCTTATTATTGCTGTGAAGTCAAAACAAAAATTTTACTGTCCGTAGCAGCCAGGATAAGCTTCAGTCATAGTTAAAGACTGGCTCTTGTGTTCACTTCTAGCCTACAGGAGTGAATGAAAGGGCTCCCATTGACTTCTGTGGGCTCTGGGTCAGGCCCTTGCTAGGACCTGGTGCTTGTTCTGTCATTGAACGCTCCATCGTTTAAGCTCCTGCTGTGTGCTGCTCAGTCAGCGCAGCAAGGCTAATGTAGCCTGTCTGCCTCACAGGGTCATTACGGGGAGGGAGGGCGTGCGAGTGGAGCTGCTGGTGTTTTACTGATGATAGGCACTATAGAAACAAGAAGCAAAATCCATTCAGCGATTTGCATACTGATATTTTCAGAAATAATGATATTTTCATGCATGACCGGATGCCTCCTCTTCTGTAGTGTTTTGTCGAAGTGCCTTTGAAGGTGAGTGAAGGTTACACAGGGAGTAATTTTTTTTGATCATTCAGTTGTAGAGGTTGATTTAAAGGCATAATAGCAAAGGTTCTGACTACTCCCTCTCTTCGCAGACTGTTCTGCATCTTTTAAATGTCTAAGTAGGAATTCAGTTCTGTAAGTTAGCTGATGGTTATAATAGTATTGCTAGATTCTTTGTAATTGGTGTGTATTTAAAACAGTACGAGGGTGATCACTGTGTCCTTAAGGAGTTATAAATCTGAGAAGCAGTGCTTTTGCTGCTTGTTTTGAGACGGACTGACATCCTGAAAGGCTCGGGAGGTGTCCCCTTGCCTGAGCACCCCAAATCAGCAGCTTTTGGCAATGGGGGTGTCTGGCAGCGGGCTGGGGATGCCGCCTGGCGGCAAAGGCTGCACTGAGCATAGCTGGCTGCCAGCCCACTTCCAGACAGTGCTTTGAAACCAGAATATACTAAAGAAATACATCCGACCTGCTTAGAGCTTTCATGTTAGGCTATTGGTTTTAATCCAGTTAGTATCAAGGGGGATCAGTGTGGCTGGAAACATTTTGTCATCTTTCTAGGAACAGTGTTATAATGTTCCCGATTCTAATGTGATAATCTTTGTTCATTCGTTTTGTTAAGAAATGATAAATACAGATGTCAGCCTGCTTGCACTTGATATCAACTTCTTCGTGCTTCCTTACACTCAGTAATTTTTTCTCTATCCATGACTAGCGAAGGAACACATCCGCCGCAATCGACAGAGCCGGACCTTCATGGTGGAAAATGTCATAGGAGAGATCTGGTCTGAACTGGAGGAAGGTAGTATAAAGAATAAACTTTGCTCTCACTGATTTTATATTGCAGGCAAATGGTGTGTTTCCCACAAATGTACTGTGCACTGGATTGCTCTCACAGTGATTATAAATAGGAAAATTAAAATCAAATGCAAGTTCACATGCTGCTCTCAGTTACTAAGGCTGAACTGCAATTCTATATGCTCTCGCAAAATATGGTTTACTAAGGACATGGTAATAAGCAATCCAGTTTTTAAAATGCAACCAAGATGCTTTCCTCACAACAGGCTCTGTAAATATGCCATAGTATAAATTCGGTAGCCCACTAGAATGTGTATCAGCAGCATGAGAAATTCCACTAATCTACTAATTTAGCTCAAAAGCTAAACCAATAGCTTTTGAAATCTGAATTTCATATTTGTTATCAATCATTGCATTATAATTAGGATCAAGTCTTCAGCGTAGACATTCATGACTTTCTGTAAGTCATTATCTCTCATGGTGATAATGCCCCTGAGAAGCTTTCATTGTAATATGCTGTTGTGATAAACCTACTTTAAATACTATTTCCCTACTCCTCTGGCAAACTAGGTGACCGTTACATCGTTGTTGACAGTGGAGGAGGCACAGTGGATATAACTGTCCATCAGATCAGGCTCCCTGAAGGACATCTTAAGGAGTTATACAAGGCAACAGGTAATGTCACTTCCACTGTTTGCTTTATGTATGTCATATTTTGACTTGCCAGTGAAGGAAATGTATGCCTTTATTATTCACTGCATTTCACTAACACTTCTTCCTGAAATAAGACAACATTCAAAATTAGTATAATCTAGCTGCTGGTCAGCAGATATAGTAAATCACTCCATGCTTCTGATGCTTTTGGATGGTAAACCTGCCACTGAAGAGTAAGAAACTGCCATCTCCTGTGTTATTCACTCCCATTCAGGCCATGACCTCCTGCTTTGGTCCTTGTCTGACTTCTGCTAGTAAAGTCGTCATCTTCCTGTTCTTTGAGAGGTCACCTGTGTATTGATGCTCTGTCCAGCTATTCAGAGACGTACCTTGGAGATATGAATAGCTGAGTGTTACAACAAGATCCTTGTAAAGTGACTATTGGAAGAACAGAAGTTTCCCTAGATTTAAGGAGAATCTTATATATTCCGGTAATGTCTTAGGCAGTGTAACAAGGAGGGTCTACCATCCCCTGGGAAAAATGCACAATGATTGGTCCCCAACAAAGATATAAAGTGTGATTCCTTGAATGGTATTCCCTTCCCGAACTCCAGATCCCCTCTGTCTTTGTCCTCTGGCTAAGCTATTAAACACATGAGTCAGCTTATTATTTGTTGCTGTGTCTCTGTACCAAGTTAATCTTCATGAGTATGGTTCATCACTGAGCTTTCTCAGTCTTGGTGGCTGTAAGACTACCTCAGGAAACAACCTAATAATGGGACAGTGTACATCAAGCCTGACTACTCCTAAATACGAGTCCAACCCACACCTTTTCATGTGTGGATGAGGAGGCAGTTTCCTCTGCTTCTAATAAAACTGTTTCTATCTTTTAGTGGTAGTGTTGCAGTGGCTCTGGTGGTATAGGAGTAAAAGTGAGGCAAAGGTAAGATTATGTTCTGTATTAGACTGTTACACTTAGGAAAGATACCTTTTTTTGTAGACTTTCTCCTATGACAGTCCTAGTAGTGGTATCTGATGTGTATTTGGTCGACTTGAAATCTAATAAGCAGTTCAGAATTTTAAAGCTGTGTTTTGTTTGTAATACAGGTGGCCCGTATGGTTCTCTAGGCGTGGACTATGAATTTGAAAAGCTCCTGTGTAAAATATTTGGAGAAGATTTTATTGAGCAATTTAAAATCAAGCGTCCTGCTGCCTGGGTCGATCTGATGATAGCGTTTGAGTCCCGTAAACGGGCAGCAGCTCCAGACAGGACCAATCCACTAAACATCACTCTGCCTTTCTCCTTCATTGACTATTACAAGAAGTTTCGAGGTCACAGTGTAGAACATGCCTTGAGGAAAAGCAAGTGAGTAGAAGATTGAACCCAAATAGATGCAGAATTAACTACTGGTAGCAAAAATAAATAATTAAAATATCCTAATTACACGTAGACTGAAGAATAATAATAATATAAAAATGTAATCTAAGGATGAGAAAATGGGATTGCCTGAAGTGCAGTTTCCAGAATGAAAAAGATCTGATCAGTCTCGTGCCAAAGCTTTTCTGTACAAGCTTGCACTCTTCTGCTATTGCTTTCTGTGACTTCCATTAGGCCACCACTGCCTCATTTTCCTGAAGTTGGCCATGTGTTTTGAATCCCTTATGTGTTCATTAGGAACCTCAAATCAAATATAAAATTGATGTCTGGAAGTTAGTTACCTAGAACATGAGTTTTTAGAGGCCTGGGCCCTGGAACAAATCTGGGATTTTCAGTGAGATGCATAAATATTTTAATAGCTTGAGGAAAGTTACTAGCAATACCAGGTCACTGGTGAAAACATGCACTACGGCATAGAGCCCTGCAAGGGGAAAGCATTCTTCTTTGGAAGTGATGTCAGGCATTCTTTACTTCTAGTATTTTACCAGTTAGTGAATTTGTTCAGTAGGTGGGGAGACATAATCCCCTCCAGAGATTTTAACTCATGATTTTCAGTACCAGGAAGTCACCCTAAATGATAAGATCATGGACTGCTATAGAAAGGGAAGTGAGAAGAAAGTAGAAGTGGGCATTTGGATTCTTTTGAAATTATGTGCTGCAGGAGTCCTGGAGATGAATGGCATAAAACAATGAACAAGAGAGACTGTGAATGTGGGGCAGAATCTTTGGGACCCGAGGGCAGAATACGTGATATTTAGTACCTGTACCTTGAGTTCTTTCTGCCTTTTTTAATCCAGTGAATGTTGAATTTAGCATGCAGGCTTCAAAATCCTGCATCTCTTCCTAAAGTTACTGGTAAATGTACTTCAAGGTACAAGCCTAAAGTACTTGGAATCCAGCTCAGTCACTTCCTAAGTGAGACTGAGGTTCTGAAACATTAAACATTTCCGGAAATACCCCCTCACAAGACCATCTCCATCTTTTTAGTAGTCTAAATGGTAAACATTAGAGGAAATGCTAAATATTCCCTTCAAATAAAATGAAATTCAGTGGATAATGGGATAGAAAGAGTATAAAGGTGACATATAATGTGCATGACTGAAAAGGAGATTACTGAGCTTTATGGATTTGTATCAGCCATGGAATAACATAATGCATGTATTCTCTTCACAAATGTTATGCCTCATTAAAAATGCTGTGCTCCCTTCTTCCTCCTGAGGCTTCTCATACTTGCTTGTTTTTTTCCTCATGTGTTTCCAATGGCTTTGGCCTTCTTCTGCTATAATCTAAATGTTGCCCTTCTGGGGATGAATCAGTGCTGTTTCAGATGAGCGAGCACTAGATTGACTGCCAGCTGTTTCAGGAAGCAGCTGAGCATTGGTAATGTTACAGAAGGCAATCAGGCAAAGAAAACAACAATTAGACAAGCACAAATAATAATTCTCCCTTGAAATTTTACATTGCTGCAGTTGGCATGAGGCTAGGGTGAGGTGAGGCACTTTCTTCCAAGCAAAATGCATGCAGATTCTATAAACTCATTCATGTATTTACTTCATGTGTCTTGTGAGTACCTGGCTGTTTTTTACAGCTTACCTGTAATGTTTTAATGTCCTTTCTAACTGTTCTTTTCCAGTGTGGACTTTGTGAAGTGGTCTTCCCAGGGAATGCTGAGGATGAGCCCAGATGCAATGAATGCTCTTTTCAAACCTACAATTGACCAGATTGTTCAGCACCTTAGTACGTATCTGTGTGTAATCCCACTTTCTGGCTGAGGTGAAACTGAAGCTTTGCTTATCTATTTCAAACCAGTAACTGGAATTACAGTTAAATAATCCCCCCAGTATGCACCAAATGTGGTCAAGGAATTTAGTTCTGAAACTTGTACTTCTCTACAAAGTAGTTGGGAGAATAATGGAAGTAAGGGACATCTCCTTAACATGTATTCCTACCTAGTTCTAGTACTAGTTATTGACTGTGATTCAGTCCTGTTACTGCCTAAGCTTCAATTATTCTGGACGTCCAGGGCTGTGAGCATTCAGAAGATTGAAATGCACTGACTGATAGAGATCCTGCTTTTCTTTTTCCTGTTTCAGGCAACAACTAAGTAATGCCAGATATGTAACTAGTTTCCTGCTATTAAGACCTCTAGTTCATTTCTCCTCAGTGAAAGGTCACATTTGTCCATGACCGTCCAAATCACTGACATTTCTAAACACAAATAATAAATGAGGCATCATGGTAAAAGTACTTGCAGGCATGGCTTAAGCAGCACTGAATTTATTTATCCAGTAATGGAAAATGGCATAGACTTATTGGGAAATTTATTATTTAAAGTTTTCCTTGTGGAAGATTAGATTTGTATTAAGTAATATATATAATAATAGCATGTATAATACATGTACTGAGCAAAGTATTGCTGTTCTACACTCTAAAAATCACTAATTGAATCCTGCTTTGCTTACTGTGTGTGAGGAATTAATAGGTAAATTTATGAGGTCACAACTTAGTAAAACAGGTGGTGCAGAACAGCTTATATATGAGCAGGGAGAGAGAAACCTAGGATTACAGTAGTTGTGACAGATAACTCAGTCTTGCTGCCTTAGTTATTTGAACTAAGGGTGAGCCTAGAGCCAAAGCGTTTCTTGAAGGTCGGGGATGTGGGCTTAAGCTGAGAAGGAACATCTGTATAAACATAAGGAGGTATTATTTTGCAGATAGTATTTCTTGTGGTTAAGATGTAAAAGTCAGAAATAGTAAGGAAACTTAAAATGGGGTGACTTATCTGGGATGCAGTAAAGGTTATGTGGATCGGTTAGGTTTGGGAATATCTCACTGATCCTTGAAGTGGCAAGATGATCGCTGTTTCCCTACTACCCATGATGTGACTGGTAGGATTTCTTAGCAAGAAATCCACATCTCTCTTTACTGGTAGGAGCTAAATAAAAATTCTATTTTAAATGCCATTTCAGAAATATTGTGTGCTTTGAAGTAAGCTTCCACTCCCAGTGAAATAGATTACAGCAGTGAACTAGTGCATGCTGACAGTGAGTGGCAGTGTGGGCATAGATGTGTCAGGCTCAGATCTTGTGCATATGCATAGGATATTCAGTGTACTCAACCATTAGGAGTTTCACCTGCTTTGCCTGGATTTTCCTCTAATGAATGGGCTCTGTTTCTCTTTAGGTGATGTGTTTGAAAAGCCAGAAGTGACCAATGTCAAGTTCCTGTTCCTGGTGGGTGGCTTCGCTGAATCGCCCTTACTGCAACAAGCTGTCCAGAGCGCTTTTGGTTCGAGATGTCGAGTCATCATTCCTCAGGATGTGGGGCTCACTATCCTCAAAGGAGCTGTTCTCTTTGGCCTAGACCCTGCTGTCATCAAAGTGCGGCGTTCACCTCTCACCTACGGAGTGGGTGTGCTCAACCGCTTCGTGGAAGGGAAGCATCCACCAGAGAAGCTTCTAGTCAAAGATGGCACACGCTGGTGCACTGATGTCTTTGACAAGTTTATCTCAGCCGACCAATCTGTAGCCCTTGGAGAAACTGTGACACGCAGTTACACGCCTGCCAAACCTTCCCAGTTAGTAATAGTGATCAATATCTATAGCTCAGAACAAGATAATGTTGGCTTCATCACCGAATCTGGAGTGAAAAAGTGTGGCACCCTTCGCTTGGATCTCACGGGAACTGATGCTTCAGTGCCAAACCGGCGGGAGATCAAAACACTTATGCAGTTTGGGGACACTGAAATCAAAGCCATGGCCATTGATGTTGCCACCTCTAAAAGTGTCAAAGTTGGTATTGATTTCTTAAACTACTAACAGCCCATTTTCCCCACCACGGCCTGTTTGTGAGACTGATCAATCTTCCACTATTCCAATTTTTTGACTTTCATGTATCATGTCATCAACTTGAATTTCAGCAGGCTATATGAGAACAGCTACTAAGGTGGGGTATGTCATGTTTGTGCCCTTTAATGACCAAAGGCTGGATTTTGAAAGACCCTTAAAAAGTTTTGGGAGCAAAAGTTCCAGAGGTAGTAAAAGTTCCCAAGTTACTCAAGCATGCTTAAAGACCTACCTTTATTAAGTAAATACTGATTATTGTTGGGTCCTGAAGATTAGTTAAAAAGGTAAAATCATAATCTCCTTGCCTTCTTCTTCTTCTTCCTCCCAGGAAAAGCTCACCCTGACTGTTGTAGGGGGGTGTATCTGTGTGGGGTACCTCTGTAAACAGCACCATCCTCTGGCAATGGGAACAAATTAGTAGTCTGTAGTGTTCTTTTGACTTTGCCCTATGCTTTCATTATTTTAAGTGCTGAAAATCAGTGACTTAAAGAAATAAGAACTGAAATTCTTAAATTCTGAGATCCTACAGAGAAGAAGATTCTCAGAAATCCTTGAGATTAGATTTAGGAAATACAAATATATATTAGGAGCCTAATAGTGATTGCTCCAGTTTGAAAACAAAGCCTTTATTGTCAAAGCTCTCGGAACAAGCTGTTGGATTAAGTAGCTAACATTACCTTCAATATACTTTGGAACATTAAGAACAAAGATATTTCCCTTTTTGGTCTTCTAAACTTACTCTTATTAGTCTCCATCTGCAGTCATAGAAGCACATAATTGCTGGGTTTGGAGAGGACATCCTTTGACTGGTCCAACCTCTCAAATCTAAGCAGTGTCACCTAGGTCAGGATGCTTTGTCCAGTTCTGAATATCTCCAAAGATGGAGATGCCTGAATTCTGGGCAACCTGTTCCAGTATTTGACAACCCTCACTGCATTCTTATGTTTAAACAGAATTTCTTGAGTTTCAATTTGTGCCCATTGCCTCTTGTTCCTTCACTCGATACCTCTGAGAAGTCTGGCTCTATCCCGTTTACTGTCTTTCTTCAGGCATTTATGTGCATTCCTAGCATCTCCTGAGGCTTCTCAAGTCTGAACAGTCTCAGCTCTCTCAGCCTCTCTTCACATCACAGGTATTCCAATCCCTTTAAATCATCTTCATAACCCTTTGCTGGTCTCGGTCCAGTATGTCCACGTCTCTCTTGTACCAAGAAGCACAGAAGTGGATCTGGCACTCCAGATGTGGTCTCACCAGGGCTGAATAAAGGGGAATAATCACTTTCCTTGACCTGCTGGCAATGCTTTCTCTAACGCAGCCCAGGAGGCTATGGGCATTCTTTGTTGCAAGGGCACATTGCTGGCTCACAGTCGACTTTGTGTCTGCCAAGACCTTGAGGTCTTTTTCCAAGCTGCCTCTCTGCCAGTTGGTCCGCAGCGTAAACTGGTGCATGGGGTTATTCCTCCCCAGGATCAGGACTTTGCACTTCCCTTCATTGAAGACATTCCTGTCTGTCCATTTCTCCAGCCTGTTGAGGTCCCAGTGACCCATCTGGTTTATAAGCACTTCTCCAAGTGATTATATTTCTTTTCGTGTTCATCCCTGTCTTAAGGTTTGGAAGTACAGTTAGGTGGTGGCTCTCCAGGAAGATTTACACAACTTAAAAGAGAGAAAACATCCAGATCAAAAGTTCTGTGATAAGTTTTGCGTAGCAAACATTTTAATTGAGGAAAATATATTTATGGGTTGAGTTGAATGGCCAGTAAAGTGGAAGGTAGAAGCCAGGAGAATGAAACTACAAATAGCATTAAATGAGGCATTCCTTACATGGCTCTGAGCACACAACTCTAACACAGATGAAATACGCTGATGGTCACGGTAGCATCTTGTTTTCCAAATAATAACTTCCTGGAAATGTTTTCTTAAGCACTTTCAACTGGAAAATTTCTTCTGCAACTGGAACAGTTTTTATGTTGCAAAATGGTGCAGGTGGATAACTTCTGAGACCTACACTCTGTATCTGCCATCAACTGACAACTTCAGATTCAAATCCAAATCCCACTCCAGATTAGCAGACTGATACTATCCTATAGAATCACCCTAAAGCGCTGACACTTTCAGAGCATTTATACAAAGCTGCCTGATTACCTGCTGGAATTCATTATGGTTTTGAAGCTTTTCAATGTTAATTGTTAAACTAAACCTTCCTTTCTGATAAGTTGAGCATGAGTTAAATCCGTCACTGTCACTTTTGGGAAATGAAAGCTTTATCAATTATTTCACTGGTTTACATTCCAATCCTGCACTTAAGCTTTCTGTGTTTAGCCTGGAGTTTTGCCACGCTAAAGAGCTGCAGAACTGATCTACTGCCTTTTGCCATTGAGTTTTGTGTGTCTCCTGCAGAATTCTGCAGAATGCAGAATCTCACTCTGCATTCAGCTTTAAAGAACAACAAATAAAAGGAAAAAAACCATAAGGACAATGGAGAATGCTAGTCACAGTATCTGCTGGACATTTCTATAATTACAAAGTGTGCTTGCTAGCATTCAGTTTCCTGCTGCCTGCTAAATGCTTTAAAAGCTAAATACTGGGATTTTTTTTTTTGGTGTGTGTTGCTTTCCATGGTTTACAAACGAGAAACTTTAAGATGAGTTATGAACAATATAATTTTATGTATATACAATATTTAAATATTGTACAGACTCTTTCTTTCTACAGTGCTATTTTCTTGTATAAAAATGCTCTTTGCCTCTGTTGATTTCATTCAGCTGTTAATTTTAAATAACATAATTTCTCAATCAGCTTCTGTAATTATAGCCTTTTAAAGATGGTAAGATATGAAATGTAAAAGGCTGATCTTATAATAATAGGAAAGAAATGTTGGTGTGTCAGAGGATACAACATTCTTCCTGCAATGCAAGTCATAGCAGTTAAGCCTATTACACAGATGCACTAGTATGTTGCTGGGATTTTCATTTCTTTGTTTCAGACGGTGACCATTCCACCTCCAGCAGTTTATCATAATAATGGATGAATCCTCCTGTAAAACCAAGTTAAAAATTAGATAGTTTGATCTGGATATACAGCTTCGTCACTAGGTTTTGGGGTTTTAAGGATCTTCCATAGGATAAAAAAAACCCAACAACCAAAGAAACACAAAACTACCTTCCAAAGCCAGGCAACACTGATTTATTGTAGCTGCAGGTAAGACCCAGTCTCTGTCTACTACTACCACCTACCAAAAGACCAAGTTCTTAAAGAAAAGTAGGCTTCGGTGTGTTTGCATCCTATGTTAAACTGAATTGTCCTGTTCTGCACAGATTTGTTTCTGGTAGCCTTAACACAGAATTTGGTCTAATAAATGGCTGCAACCTTCCCCTCTCTCCTCTGGAAAGGAGATGACCTGCAAGAAAGATGAGGTGGCCCATGGTTTTGTGCTGTTCGTAGTCTGCCTACAGGTGTCCTGTGTTCAGCAGTAGCAGTCATTTTTCTCCTTCTTGGTAGCTGGTGCAGTGCTGTGTTCTTGACTTTGGTCTGGGAACAACGCTGATAACACACAACAGCAGGGAATGCTAAGGGTATTTCGGCAGCTCTTCTGAAGCATGGTTCCCTGCACAGTAGTGGTTCTCTGCCCTTTCTTATTCACATTTTGTATGATCCCGTCTGGATCCAAGCAGGGGTTTGTTGCTAAAATTACTCTAACTGTAAAATGTGATTTACACATTTTTGCACTTCTTCATTCCTTCTGATGAGAGCACTATCAAGCTTATCTTTGCAGAGCACTGAACTACAGAACAAACTCCCAGTTGTCCTTGTTGCCCTCTTTAAGAATGGAAAATTAGCTTGTTTCTCTAAGGAGTTAGAATTGTAAGTAGAATATTACGCTGTGGTCTGTAGTCTATAACCCAGTTAAACAACCTTACGTTGTAAGCGGCATGTGGATGCCCATTTTGATAAAGGATGTTAGGCTATAAAATTAATATGAAATTTACTAGGAAATGAGTCATTTTTAGGATAGAATTCTGATACTTTTGCAGGACATTCCCTGTAGAGCATTTTATTGGTAGGGGTTTCAGATGACATTGTGCAACGTCATGTTGGAAAGACAAGGCCTGCTATCCTTAGGGAAAGCAGAAGGTCTTGGTAGAAGTTTTGGTCTAAGCAGCAACTTGCGAGTTTGGGTCCAAGTTACTTAAGTCTAGGCTGAAAGTTAGCAGCTAATTGTGATGGAATGATTAATTGTGCTAGAATATGATAAATGTGCCGTGATGGTTAGGACCGTTTACATTGGTATGAATATACCAATATTATATACAGGAGTTTTAATGCATTATTATGAGAAGGCTAATTATATATTGCAGAGATTTAATCGCCAAGATAAGCTGCATATTTATGATATGAAGTGGCTTAAGCGGATGAATAGTATAAAAGTTGTTGGGCATAACGTCACAGTACTCACCTGCTTGAAATAGTCCTAAACTATATTATAAAACCAACCATTGTGGTCTTGTTCACCTCTGTGCAAGATAAATTCAGATTTCACTGATGTTTGGAGCTGTTCACAACTTGTCTGGATTGTATCTTGAGTGTTCTTGTGTCTCCAATCATGTCAAATAAAATACTGTAAAACTGATTTTTCTTCTTGGGTGTTACTGCTTTTATGAAAATGGTTATAAAAAGAAACCTAATTTATTATGAAAGTGAGAAAGGCCAAGTGGTTATACTTGCATTTGAATGCTACTTCGTATGTGTAACTGAGCAGAAGTGACACCAACCATATGTACTGCTTATGAGATCTCTTCAATCTTTTAGATGTGTGGATGCCAACAGTCTTTGCCAAGGGCTGGCAGGCCCCTGAGCACACACACAGCTTTTCAGCAAGAGCCTGCTGCATTTCTAGTTCACCTGTGAACTTTCTAGGGGGGCTCCGTATGTGCCTGAGGTACAAGTCCCCAGCTGGTGATTACTCAACATCCATCAAACTTGATGCA